AGTTGTCTTTCCACAATCACCAAAAGTCATGCCATAGAAAAAGTTCATCGGTCACAAAACTGAAATTTCAGCCATCGTAAAAAAAAGTTCAGTTTTGTCGAGCGTGAAATTTTACTAAATGACATGACTATTGGCTATTACCAGAAGTTTTGTAATAGGCTCTTGACAGTACCTTTCTTGTTCGAGAACTATGTGTGACTAGTAGCGCTTGCTTGTTATCGAGTGTGAAGGGAGTGAAAATGTTCGCTTTACTCATACCTACACATTTTCATGCTACCTGTCTTGCACACCATCAGCTTTTCAGACAGCTTCCTTTACAGGCGTTATGTCTAACGTAAGATTTGAATGAGTCATAAGTTAGAATCGTTGAAGTTTGCATTCCAATTCATTAGTTTACTAACTGCTTCGCCTGCCTAAAAAGCAAAAGTACGATTTTGAAAGCATGAATAATTAGCGCATTTATGACTTAATCGAGATTTTTGACCATCGTCAAAACTTGTGTTTTTATCAGACTTTCGCTCTGAGCAAGACTGAATCTTTATTACTCTTTTTGTTTTAGAAAAGATACTCGCTACTTTTTCGATTCATTATATAGTATCATAATTGAAGTGACTTCTGTTAAATTTTTACTTAGCAATTATGCGTTAGTGCTTAGGTTGCTTATAAGATAACCAAAAGACAGAAATATTGATATATACTTTTGGTTAATCCGATGACTCAATACAAAAAGGACAAGAAGAGAAACATTTGAATTTCAATAAATCTCAAAGAACAAAGAAAAGCGATGAAAGATGAACAAGATATCTTAAACGACAATGGATATAGGTAAAAATAAAACAATCTGATGAATTTATCGAAAGATGAAAATATTGAAACAATAAATAAAAGTAATTTCGTTAGTTTACTCTTTAACCATCAAAACACTGAGAAAAGTCTAAATCAAAGTTTTATTTAAATAGCGTTATCTCAAATTCAAAGATAAGTATTTATTTTTTTATGTCACACACAAGTATAATATTTTCAAATGATTTCACCATCACATTTCATTAAAAGATAATATTTAATATAAAATTTTAAAGAAATATTTGATCTAAAGCCGAACTTTATTTCGATTTTTCAATATAAAATGAAAACTTCCTTTATATAATTGATGCAAAGTTAACACAACGCATTTAGATCCATCGAAAATATTTTACATTTGAGCTGTAAAGATCAGATAAATATAAGGATGTCTTGGTACATGTTGCCGAATACTGATAAACCAGAACATAAAAAAGTTCCGTGTTCATCTCAATCTGTCGTATTCGCTTGACATCAATACAAATGAATATTGAAACAAAAAATTAAAAAGAATCATTTAATTTTTATTTAAACCAAAATAGTAAAACATAAACAACAAATATTCTAATAAAATTTTCAATAAACAAAATATGAATAAAACATTGAAATATAATGTCGAATTAGGTTTTGTTTGTTCGGTATTGTATATTAAAGGTAAACACATGATTCAAAATATATTATAGTTTAAAAATATAACGTCAATCTAAGAAAGAACTAAACTTCTATTTAGAAAAACTTTATTATAAAATCAATGAATGTATCAAGCAATCTGTTATTCGATTATAACAAGCAGAAGTTTAAATATGCTCAACAGAAACAAAAAGGAAATTAATTAACTATTAATATGGAAGATCTTAATGAAAAATTCATTTAAATAAAATATTTACACATTTAAAATGTCTAAAAAACTTAATTTTATATGATTTATAATCATTCAATAAATGAATAATTCAAATTAAAAGTAAAATTTAACAATAATTACTTTGGAAAAGAAACAAAAAATATTTTTACACAATTGGATAAAAATAATGAAAAACATTTAAAATAATCTTTGAATTTCATTTTTGTTTTGTCGAACTTGTGTTATGAAAATAATTTTAAAATATTCAAAGTTCTGTTGAAAGTTAAACATGTTCTAAAACAACCATCAGAAAGTCAAAAAGATTCTACTTCGCAGAAGTTTTTCGTTTGCTATCTTAACAAATCAATCTCATTATATTAAACGCAGAGAATATTTTCATGGAAGAAATGTCATTATTTTAGTTTGTTGAAGAAAGCAATATAATATAATTCATTAAATGGAAATGCGAAAAAAATGACAACAACATACGATTTCTTTTTTCATAGTAAATAAACTACGTAAAAGGTTTAATTAATATTATTTAAATATCAGATTTCTTTTATTGCAATGGAATGAATAAAAAACATCAGAATAAAATATATCCTTCAAAACGTCGTAAAATAAATAAATCAATATTTAGAAAATAAAGAAATAGTAAAAGAAAAACTATTCTTAAACAACAATTATTATGTCCTTCCTAATCATTACACAACAAGTTCAAGTATATACATTTATTGAAAAATCATTTTTGCCAGGTTTACCATAATTTTTCTTTGCTTCATTTTCATTGTTTTCAGTAAAAACTACTAAAACAATAGAACAAAACAAAGTGAAACAACACTATAATTTGTTTTGAATATTTACGTCAGAGTGATTAGTAAATGTATGTTGGATACTGACCATCATCTAGATCCCGCACTAGAATTATAAGTTACGAAGAAGGGATGAAAGAGGTGCATTCAAAGATATTGTCTGTCATAGGAACACTAGAAAACATCACAAGAACTGTATTCATTTTGTTGACTAATACCGAATAATTTCATTGATTGGAAGGGACAAGGTACACTTTTTACTCCATCCACTATTGCTAGGCCTGCCATCATCTCGTGTTTAGACAATCGTCAAAAAAGTCCCAGAAGAAATACAAGCACACAGGTTCATGCTCAATTTTTTTGTTGAGAAGCAACACTATTAATAGTTTTACTTCAGAGAAAAAAAACACAGAAAAAGCCTGAAAAAAGATATGGTATAACCAATAAAATTTTATGCATTCCCACCTGTGTTAGTCTACAAATATTACACGAATAAAAAAATATTACAGAAGTTTTTCAATTCAGTATGGGTGAGGTCACAATTTCGTTTATCGAAAGATGCTTGACATAACATTGAATTTAAATATCCGATTCAGGTTAAAGCATAGTGGGTGAATGCGAGGGTGGATTTGGTTGAGGGATGAACTGATGTTAATTGCGAGTGTGGACAGAAAAAGTAAGAATCATTGATTCACATGCGTATATTCACATCAAAAAGCATCTCGACACAACTTCACAGTCTTGAATCAAAACACCTGTATTGTAATTCCGTGCTGAACAGTCATATCTATCATGGTTTGAAAACAGGAAGAATACGTATAAGAACCTTCTCGATACGTAGTAACCCTCATTATCTCTATTGATATCTTGAAAAAGAATTGTCGCACTACGAACTTTCGTCGAGGGTATTATTCATGTGCAAGTGTAACCATGCATATTCCTGCATCCAACAACGAAAAGGAAGAGTTCTATCACGTATTACATGTTTCATAGAATTGAGATATGGGATTTTACAGTGAGCTGACGTCCAGTGAGTTATCGCCGATCCCAACTTTTTTAATTCGAATACTTTTGATTAAGAAAAGGTCCGATTATCTGAAAGATGCAAACATATGCTTTTTCTTATATGAGATCGAGTAGCGGCAGTCATGTTCCTTAGTATTCAGTCTTTTCATATTATATGCATATTAATGACAAAATCGAGTAAAATCGCCCAGGATACGCTCATACAAGAACAGTTTTTTGACTACTTTTGATATTCCTTGGTTTAGACCTGATCCAATACAAGGATGTGGTTCTGAATAACAAGAAGACCACACTCACGCCCAAACCATCATTGTCTCTTCTTTCATACTTAACTATGTTCAAGCTGAAGCGCCGATATCTAACTTTTCGTAAGGCTCATTAAATGAAATTGTGAAATATTGCATAGCATCTCGTTGTTTCGCATTATTGAACTGGATCAAATTTGAGTTACAAAATTCTCAAGAGTTTAGTATTCACAAAATTCGAACACTACTGAATCTTAACTGGTTTGTTCAAAAGGAGACGCCTACGAATTTCGAACATTGAAACAAGACTGAATCAAGTAAATAATAAAGGTTGGAAATTGTTTCAACACTCTTCAACATGCTATATGATCGAGTGTGTCAATAGTATTACTGCAAAACTTGAATTAATCAACATAATAAATCTTAACAAATATGATAAAGATTAGCTTTCAGAAATGGTACGAAGAAAATGTTATTAGCATGGTTTCTTGACAGAAGAGACAAATCGAATAAAAAATGCTAATAATTATTATCAAACATTTTTTAACAAAAATAATACTTTCTTTTTTATTTATATTTAACAATAAATATTGATAGTTTTTGTTTCATTTCTATACCTATGAAATAATATGATTACTACAATGTTAACTTTGATCAGATAAAAATAGATCATTGTTGACTTTGATACACAATTTTCAATGTTACTTTTCAATAATTAAGTCTCCAATTAAAATATATTTCTAATTTTGATGAAATTAATCAAATATATCAATGAAATGAATAGCTATAGAGTATTGTTTGATAAATTTTTGAAAAACTCGCTGAAATCATAGCATGCAGCTAAATTATAGTGGATTGTTGAATCCACCAGGATCCGATATGTTTCCCCTTGGTATAATACACAAAGTAGTTGAACTAATTGTGTTCTATTTTGAATAGGCTTTTGTGTGTTGACAGCATTTTTTTTTCAATTACATTCTTAGGAAGGGTAGACCGAGAAAATCGTTCCGGGTATGCGTGCTGCATGAAATCTTTTCATCTTAGCCAGTAAAGGGGTTTCGGTCTCTTCTGATACTAGAGAAGGTTCAGTCTACAATAGTGCAATAGTCTAACATAAGATAAGAAATATTTTCAATGCGTTCAGAATATAGGTAAACGATAAAGTGCAAATGTTCAAGGCAAGAAATGCGTTTAAAGGACGCATTAATTCTTTTAATATACAGAATGATTTCAGTATTAATTTGCTCTGTCATTCATTATAGAATTACTGTATGACATAGAAGGTTTATTATAATATACGTCCCAAACGGATTTGACTGGATCACGATGCGAAGGTGGTATGTAATCATGATCATAGCCAAATGCCCTAGGTCCTACATATTTAAGAGCCTCTTGTGTGGACATTGTCTCAGATGCTGGTAGCACAAGCACTGAGACACGGCATCCGTATTTGACAGTTTCTGTAGATAATGGTTCACCCGAATCCTGTTCGACGAGTGTGATCAGATCAGGTACACTGGCAAGTATATTGTCTTCAAATCGAGCTACTAAATTTTCATTTTGAAAATCTATTGTCAGCATTCTTCCTTCAACGTCGACTATTACATGACCTCGAGCAAAGCCAGCCCCGGTGTTCCGTTCTACACTGACTACTTTTCCATCCGCAACAACGATCTGACCATGACCAGCTTGAGCGACAGCCTGAATGACATTATTATGATGACTAAATTTAGCTTTGCCTATTCACAAATATGCTTTCGTTCATTCATAAAAAGTGTCTAACACTTACCGAGGAACCAAGCTAATGAAAGACTATGATGCACTGTGTATTTTTGTACTTGGTCACCTGTCAGCGGTGGTAGACAAAATCCGCCTCTAAGACCCATCTTCGTACATTCCTTTCTTAGTGTCTCCTCAAGCTCGTGTGCGTCTTGGACTGTTTCTTGTGTATACAACACCGCACGCCCATGAACATCACACAAGCAAGTAGGTGTGACATTTTGACCTCGAATAAATGGCAGGTTCTGATCGAGTCGAGGAAAGGCTCTTCCCATATTATCACAATCGACACATGGTACTTGTTTGCTTGCTGCCACTAACAAACCGCGTAACCCATTTGCGCCACCCATTTCTCCACAGAATACAGATGTAACTTTTCTAGAGAGGTATTCTTCGACAGTGCTGATAGCCAATAAACATTCATTACCACTTGGTAACTGCTCATACGATACAGTGGGTGCGCCCATGAAACCAACAATAGCGGCCAGATCCAACAATGGATGGAGAGATGCTGGAGATATTACACGTATCATACCATTTGATTTATTCAACATTTCGAGACATGACAGTTTTGTGTGATAAGGTTCACCGCCTCCACCACAGCCTACAATATTATATCTCGTTTTCTATGATTTTTAATAAGCTCTATTGATTCTGTTGAAGAGCTAACTTCGTATTAGAATAACTGATCAAAAGCAGACTAGTACACTATGTAGTGCAATTCGCTATTGATGAAAGCTTAGAAGCTAGGGAACTCGATAAAAACGCTGGATGACGCAAAATAAGATCTACCAAGGTCTACTAGTTTAATAGATCCATGCATGTTAAACTTGAAAATTGAATTCAAATCAGAATTTTAAGTGTGAAGAAAGAAGACAAATCGTATATCGCTTGATGTGTCTCGTTTTGTGATACTCCCATCGTGAGAGATGTAGGTTATTTTTCCAGCATAGACACTCAAAAGTCAAACTATAGTCTGTCCATTGAATTCAAGTTTCAAAATCGACACTAATGACTAGATCCTCAAAGACCATAATGGGGCTTAATTGGCTTAAATCGACTTTGAAAAATCGTATATACTTATATATAGAATTTATATATACTGATAGATTCTTTAAATAAATATTTTCCATAAAGTACATAAATATTGATTTATTTTGTAATTCATTTGCGTCATGAACTTGTTAAAATGAATCTCATCAGTCTGGAACATAAATTCAAGCAGAAATCTGACGCTACTGGAGAGAAGTAAGTGTAACAATTTACCGAGAATACCAACTCCATAAGCAATGTATTCAATATCAATTGGATCGATGACCCAAAGACCATTTTCATCAAACATCGGTTGCTTGTTGACCATGTTCATATATGTTGGCGGTTTAGATAATTGTGGTTTTCTTACTGGAACTTTTGGCAAGAGTTGTTGTCCTGTACTTTGTTGATGATATCCTTTCATTTTGGAGAGATCAAGCTGCCCAATAGCAGTCAACAACACTCGATGTTTATATCCTCCCGGATAGTAAGCTAACGGTACTTGCTCTATGTCGACCAAGTGAACTGTATTTGGATGAGCTCCATTTCGTTCACATTGCTGTTGAACCTGCAATGTCAATCGATCGATTTCACGCTTTCGTTGCATTCCATCGTCGATTGACGATGGAACAAGGTCAACAATCGATTCAATGGTAGCGCTCACTTGACAAAGAGCAGCACCCACAGCATTGCAGACCGCAAAGTGAGGTGGACGAATCATCTTTGAAAGATAGAAAATAATCGGTGCATATGAATAATATGTGAAACCTACCTGTGTAACACCGTCGAAAGTTTGTTCTGGACTTATCAGAATTGATCCTCCGCCACACAAAATGACAGGTATCGGCTCTTGATTGGTCTTCATTCGATCGATGCCTCTACTAATTGTATTTATTATATGATCAAGTACTTGTTCGATAATAAACGATGGCAAATGTACAGTTGAATGACCAATCTTAAATTTAAAATATAAATATAACTCTAGACAGAAACTAATACTAACCTGAGAAGTCAGGTTGGCAGCTAACGCTACATCTGTACCGGTAATAGTTTGACCACCGAAAGCCAATCCATGAGTTATTAACTGGTAGCCGACGCTATCCGGACCAACACATACTGATTTAGCTTCCTCGTCAACATGTATGATTGTGCCACCGCCTAACGGCAAAGAAAGAACATCAGGCATGCTCATGTTGACACGAATGTCATCCACCAGATATACTTTCTATTCAAAAATAGGATTATTAATTAGAAAAATTTTGAAAGCTGTCTAACCGCATGTGTATGTCTTGGCCTTCCATTGACTATCACTCCAATGTCAGTCGATGTACCTCCTACATCAATCACTATTCCATTTTGAATACCGGTTAGATGAGCTGCACCAATCATTGAGTTCGTCGAACCACTAGCAAATGTAAGAACGGGGAATCGAATACATTGATCCATGGATAACAAAGTTCCATTATTTTGCGTGAGAAACATTGGTATTCCAGGAGGAAGAGCTTGCTCTAATGCTCTTATGGTGTGAAGAGCCAGTGGACGAAGACATGCATTGAGAATCGACACATTCTCACGTTCGATTAAGCCCAGACCGGCAATTTCATGTGAAAGAGTGATGAATACATCCGATGATTCTTCACGAATGATTTGAGCTACGCGCTTCTCTTGATCGGGTCGGCACGGAGAGAAAACACCACAAACACAAAACGAATGAATATCGGATGCGAGAGCTTTACGAACATGTGAACGGATTTCGTCTTCGTTCAGTGAAGCGATGAGAGAACCATCAAAGAAATAGCCACCAGAAACAAGTGCTGTCAAACCGTCCACCTAAGTAAATCAAAGAAAAAGCATGTTTTCTCAAAGTGTGTGAGTCAAATATTTCCAGTAGACTATTGTCCGTACAAAAATTTCCGATTTGGTGAGTGTAAGCTTAATAGCTTGATAACGGCAGCAACTATCAACCTGCGATTTTCAACAATTGAAGGAAGAAATTGACGGATATTTTGTCTATATAATATCATATAAGACGACATTATCCTGAACCCTTTTGTGCATGAAAATCTTTCGGGAAAACACATGAAAATAGTTATGCCAATATCTTCAATTTTTGATTCTCAGATTCGTATTCGATATAGAAATATCAAATCTATACTTCCATGTTTATCTAACGCGAATCTGAAAATCAAAAGTTGATGGCATACTATTTCCATGTATTTTTTCGGCAAGATTTTCATACATAAAAATGTTCAAGATAACTTCGTCTTGAATAGTATTCTAAAGGCAACAGACCCGTCAATTGCTTCCTTTGATTGCTGAAAGACACAGGTCACTGACTGCTGCCATCGTCAAATTACTGAGTTGACATCCACTCCTTTTCAATTTTGGCGCAGATATTGATTCAATCAGAAATTTTGGATTCATTTAATATTTCAAATATTTCACCTGCTTTTTCAAATCATCTGGCCAATTTGACATAGGTCGAAGTGAATGCGTAGCTGGCCCGCATAAGCGTAGAGTACACACTTGAGCGAGGTTTTGCCGTTGAATAAGAGCATTGATAAAGTGTGTTGTACCAATCATGACAGCAGCCACTTCATTGTTCTGATGAACTTGCTGAATGGAGTGCAGCACGCCCGAGAATACGTCTGAACTTGTCGTTGATTTGTTGGTAGCTACCACTTCGGGTGCTTTTCGAATCAACACATAAACAAAAAAAACAATGAAAATACAACAAAGAGAACAAATACTATAGACGTACCATGGCCCGATTGAATACGTACCAGAACCGCATCTAGAGAAAACTCGTATATATATATCCACTACCAAAATCGTAATGCTAACCTGTATTTGTACCCCCCACATCAACACCAATGACATACATTGACGTATGCGATTTGCTTTGTTTTCGCTGCTTTATTATAAGATAGACAAAGAAAAAAAACGTAAGACGTATTTTTTCAGCTGTCACGTGATGTATCTTGTTATCAATTTAAAAAAAAATTATCTATATCGAGAAAAGTTGAATGAATAAGAATGAAACATTTTCTCATTATTTCGTAACCTTATCTTTTACACAGTAATAAATGAAGAAATTTTTCAATTGTCTGAGCCTTAAGTGAATGTCAATCTTGCTGTTCTTTATTCCATTCTGAATAAGAAACTCTGCAAACACTTTAGATATTAATTATACTGCTGCATTCGAGTGTCAATATAAGTGCCTGCGTTTTACAGAAGTGAAAACACACACTGAATAGTTCTGTGCTTCAAACGATACCAACACTCTTGAGAAATAGTTATGAACAATAAGAACCATATGTTACAATCACGGTTAGACCATTTTTCTTTGAGCAAAACGATTCCTCAGCGGCTTTACTATCAAGCAAAACCTAGAACTTTTCATACTCTTAAGAGATTCTGAAGAATACCTATTTTAAGAATGTTTTTTAGTTGGTTCCATTTATCGTTTTGTTCTGAGAATTGCTTCAGGCTTTAGAAATTGAATAATGACATGAAAATCTCCAATGTTTATAGAGATTTAGCTTCTTTATGACAATAAATAAAAGAGAGTGTGGATGTGGGTACCAGTCTTTTCTTCAGGGACAGCCACACACATCCTCCAGTTATAATTAAATAAACTGAAGAAAGGAAGTAATTGTATTTCATACTTAGAAGCTTAGATGAACTACTGAATGTAAAATACTGTTATAGTGTATTCTCATAACATATACCTCAATCCTCTCTATTCTATTCTCTTTGATATTTTCGTTTCTTTAACTTCTTTTCTTTGTCCTTGATTAACCTTTGTCTTCTTTTCTATTTTGTCCATGTTTTTCATATGCGTATATAAACTCTTGTTTTGTAAAAGAATAAACAGAGAGAATTACTACACACGCACACACACGTTAACTATGTTCGTCGCTCTTCGTGAGCGAGAACGCTAACAAATACTGTGCTAGTCTTTTTGCATAAATAGAAATGGGATCATGGCTGATTGACTTTCTTTACTTTCAACACAATACAGTATGCACTTCCCGATATTTGTTTTGGCATAATATTGATTCAGATTTAATAGTTGTTTTGTAAAGTCGACTGAGAAATCGTATATATATATAAGTTTTAAACGTAGTATTTGCTCAAGAAAAAGTGGAACCTGATATAACTAGTATATTCTTAGCAAATATCGACGGTATTGTCCCGTGCTTACGTACACACTTATGTAACGGTGTGTAAGAATTTTCAAAATGGGTGTTGCTTCATTTCACCGTAAGAGATACGCTGTAAGAACATGGAGGAAACGAATTATATCTCACCTGAAGTGTTGGTAAAATAAAAAGGAAAAGAGGCGTGTGATATACACGCAAGAGTGAGCAAGAACGTACAAATACCCATTAGGAATCGTACTTTATAGATCAATATTCTAATCAAAAGTCTGAGATAAAAAAAGCCTTCAAACGATTGTGGCTTTGGAAATCATGGTATTCAATAAGGATGTAGGTGTAAGTGAGATGCAGTGAAAAGAACACTGTCCATTCACATTTTTACTCACCTCATGTAATAGATTCTTTGGATCAATCAATTTTATTATTTTTTTAGGCTAATGAAATAATTGTTTTACCAGTGGATACATGAGAGAAAATTGTAAATTAACAGCTAGACCTTTTTATACCAAAAGCAACGATTAATTATCAATCAAAGTAAGTTGTTTTGAACTGGTAACTATTCATTAACCTTTAAGTGTAGACAAAGGATTGCAGTGAATAGTAAATTCAATTTTCATTGTCAAACTTGTCAATAATCAGGAGCGAGTTGAAAATCCCTCTTTTAACTACATTAATTTGTACTTCAACAGAAGATGTACTGCTCCCACACACATTTGTGCATATTGCCTGTCATTTTATATACATCAACTAACAGAGTGGTGCATGTCGTATGCGAGTATATAGTAATTTATTTAGAAAAAGTTTTTTTCCCGTAAATTGATTCATTTAAAAACAAGAACAGACAGATGCTCAATAAAAAAAAACATTATATATCGATGATAGGAATAATAATATGCATAAGTTAAAATATAAATGTTCGAAAATATTCAACCTTATTTACCTTTATTTTTGTTTCTTAGCGCTCGACGTCAATTAACAACAACTATTCGTGATAAATAAGCAATGACAAACAATAAAATATGGTTGAAAAATGAAACAATATTGAATAATATAATCAAAATGACTTTTTTTTATTATTAAAATATAATTATTGTATGAATATTAACTGACCTTACTATTAGTTAACATTGAATAGAATACGAATGATCATATTAATTTAATCAACTTTTATATTTGTTCATAATAAATAATTTCTGGGTATTATTTTGTGTTTTCTTTCGCATTTATTACGTTTATTGATTTAATACTTTTGAATGATAGAAGATAATATTCGATACGAATGTTTGCTTTAGATTTAATAAAACCAAATAACTTCAATAATTAAATTTCTTTTTAGTGATCATGCAAATCTAAATGGCAATATTATATAATGGAAAAGTATCAATTAATGAAATTGATATCTTTTCAATTAACAATGAAATATGCAAATAAACGACGAAAACTAAGATTACTACAAAAAATTATTGATACGTTAATGGAGCAACAAAACATCAAGATATTCAATGTTCGACCTCTTTTTGGCTATTCATCATCATCAACTATTTTGGTTTCATCAGCATTTCACAAAGAAAAATGAAATACAAACTCAGTCAAAAGTAATAACGACAAGTGTTTCATTCAATAATCCAAATCAGAAAAAAGTTGTTTGTCTTCTAAAAATAAATCTAGTTCATTTAGACAAATCTTGTGAATCAAACATGAACAACGAACAAATTAAATAATTGAAAATTATTAGTTAATGCATCTTGTACTGCATATCAAAGAAAATGATAATTCAAGTTTAATTTTAGTGTTTTAGAGTGGTATAGATATTGAAATAACAACTGACAATGAAGATAATTAGATAAATGAAAACACAATAGCTTGCCAGCGTAATCCATTTGAGACTAAAATGTTGAACTCACATGAATTTTCGCGTCTTATTATCCTAATACGAGATACGTTAAGTGAACAAACTGTAGCAGTCTATTATGATTTTCTAAGAATAATCGATTACCAGAAAAAAAGATCTATCTTTTTATGTATTACTTTTTTTAATCTTTCTAGTGATCTCAAATTATCGGCGAAGGGGTTACTGAATGCTCGCATCGAGTAAAGCTAAAACTATCACGAACTATTCAAATTTGAAGGAAAGTTAGTAACCCTGTCACAGGTGGCACGAAATTTGTTGGGTGATCAGACATTTTTGACCATTCAGGGGTCCGTACGGCCGTCCTCTGATCCTACCTTGCGATAGTCCTAGTGGAACTCAAGGTAGCCAAAAATTTGCCAAGATAATACTTC